AGCAATAATTACAAGATCAAACGGTCGGCCATTAATTTTTCTAAAATAAAAGAAAATTTGCTTCAGTGCACTTTCTTATATTCTTACTTTATTGCGAAGATTAGGCCTAAACCGACAGATCCAGATCTTAACGCAGTGGAAAGCCACAGTTGTTAATTCTAGTCGATTACTGTTTCCAATTTACGAAGCTTAAAATTATTAGATGAAAACCTGGCTCATACTTTCACTACTACTGGTTAGGCTGGCTCCGCTAGCTGCAAGGCTATGTTTTCTGACAATAATAAGCTCGATCCGATGCTATATCTGATAATAATAAAAGCCATTCATTTTTGCCGTTCATTTTTCCACAGCCTAAGCCCCATGCGCCAGTCAGTTCAGAATTTATCCTTCATAACACTTCCTAGATAACATTCATCATTCAATGGAAAGTGCAAAAACAACATGATAGATTTATATGCACATTTCTAAACCAAATATAACCATATAGATGTTTCGCTTGTGCAATAGCAACTACGTTATAATATAATATTGAACAGTTATAAATATTATATAATATAAAATATAATATTGAAATATTGTATAATATTGAAATGGAAAATCACAGTAAAATACGTGAGAAAAACTGCATGTCACCGATGGAGAAACCTGTTAAGTTGTCACCAATAACACCACCCATATTACTTCGTCTTCATTTGGGAATCATGCACTTTTCGACTCGATTACTATAATTACTAATCTAAAAAAACAATGAAATAATGGGTAACTTATCTGTCTATCAACTCGAGCATTTTGAACTTAGGGTAGATCCATTCGCCAATAACTATCATTATTGTCACTGCGCGTTTATAGCTACATAAGATAGAGAGTTCCTGCGAAAATTTTAACATAACTTGAAATAAATTTTCAAACCATCACAAAAATCATCTATGATGCAGCAGAAATCTAGAAAAAAACCACAAGTTGCGAGTTCATAGCCTGGCAAAGTGGTTAAAAATTAGAATTATAGGAATCTATAAGAGTGCATTATGAAAGAAGACTGGAAAAATATAGGCAACTAACAAAGAATATCGAATCCTATTTATGGAAGTAGAATATATAGTAAATTTCCTTTCCTCTTATATCCAAACATTTTAACAAACATTTATCCAAGGTCATTCTTAGCGAAACAATATACCATGCGAAATTTCATTAATTTTTCTGGTGATTTTAGTGAATCGTATTACTGGCAAACTTATCCATATAATATATTTTTCTTCACTTTCAACATCATCGATCATATTTCTTTGCTCGAAATCTGTTTATGATATTTCCTATAAAGAGATTTTATTTCTGGGAAAGAGATTTTAAGAGATTCTGGAAATCAGCAGTTTTGCCTTAAATTGCACAAATTGGAGACAAGGTACCAAAAGACTGTCACTTAGGCCATAATCTCGAGCGTAACGTTTCTTCTCGAAGGAGTAAACCTTTCGCGATCGCAATATTTCTTCCGCCAAGAGCATCTTTAGCAAAAAATTAGTACCGCATAAAAAGCCAGTGGGAATGAATCTAACAAGAAATGAAAACGCTAATTATTACGTTAATTATTACATTAATTACAATTACATTTATTTATTTATTTATTGATAACCAGCCAAGCAGGGCGACAACGCCATGTGCTTGTATTAATAATAACAATTAAGATAACAGAAAAAGAAAACACAAAAAAAAAGAAAAAAAAATATAACATAAACAAAATTAATATAAAACAATATGATAAAAATTAACAATTTAAAGAGGAAATTACATACCAATATAATGTACAATTCGAAGTAACATATAACCTGGAGATAAAATCGAGATTTCTCACTTCCTGCAGTTCTTGCCTGGTGTAAACTCTTCTCTTTTTTTTTATTTTTAAATAATATCGTAAATGATATTATCTAGTCTTTTTTTAAAGACAGCTAAGGATGACGCACAAGCTACATCGTAATTTGTTCCAGTAGTTAATAGTACAAATAAAGAAGTCATGAGTCCTTAGTTTAGTTTTGCATATAGGTTTTAGTGTAATTTTAAGCCATTAGTTCTTGTTGGATTCAAATTTAGTCTAAAGTTATAATATTTCGAGCAATCTAGTTTAACATAACCATACAGAATCTTATATGTGTAAATTAAACCTTGTTTAATTCTAGAACTGAGAGAGAATCCATGTTATGTTGTAGAAGTGTTCTTTTATAATTAAAATTATAATTTTTATTAGGAGAGAGGCGTCTTAGAAAATATTTTTGGAGTCCTTCGATTATTTTACCTGTTTTGCGATGTCTAGGGGAGTAACATATAGTATTGTAGTCAAGAAGAGGCCGAACGAATGCTTTGTATAATTTGATAAGAAAACTTTCAGTTTTGTTCTTAAACGAACGAAAAATAAAATTTAATATCCTTGAGGATTACTATGGTTCTGCAGTGAAGATAGAAATCGAGATTTTCATCCATGATTATTCCAAGATCGGAGATGTGTGAGACTCTGTTGATTAAATTACCATTTATAAAAAGGTTAGGAAGATCGAATCCTTTAGAATTGGTGTGAAGAACGCTACATTTTTGAAAGGAAAGGGTAATTTGCCTGTTATATAGCCAGCCAGCTATTCTGCTGAGGTCCTCCTGCAGTGGAGATAGGCTATCCGCTCTACCATGAGAATAAATTTTAAAATCATCAGCATAAAGATAAATAGTAGAATCTATTATCACTGTGATATCATTTATATATAATAGAAATAGCAATGGCGCAATACAACTGCCTTGGGGAACGCCTGATTTAACAGGTGTCATGTCAGAAAGAATGTTATTAACATATACGGCCTGGTAACGATCTTTTATGTAATCTGAAACCCAGTTATAGAGGTCCCCTGTTATGCCATAACTATTAAGAATGACCAATAACTTGCTATAGGAAACAATATCAAAAGCCTTAGCCAAATCTAGGTACACAACTGATACTATTTTTCCATTGTCAATTGATGCTGACCAATCAGAGAGATTTGCCAATATTTGTGAAGAAGATTTTTTTGTACAAAAGCCATGCTGATAAGAAGATATAAAATTATTGGCATCAAGATAAGTAAGCAATTTGTTGCAAATCAACCTTTCAAGTACCTTGCTACCAACACATGTTAAGCTAATAGGTCTGTAATTAAAAGCGTCATAGGTGCTTCCTTTTTTATGAATGGGAATTATATGGGACAATTTCCAAATTTTGGGATTAAGGCCAGACTTCATAATATCTTTATAAATTAAAAATAGGGGAAGACTGAGAGAGACTGCGCATTTTTTATAAATTATTTGTGGAATGTTCGGGACCAGCTGAAATGGACGGCTTAAGTCTATTTAAGGCATCATAAACATCCAGTAGTGTTATTTCAATGTAATCATTTTTCACTTAATCAGTACATAATCAGTCAGTTTACATAATCAGTCATAATCAGTTTACATAATCAGTTTTTACTTTACCAGGAATCCTTGTTTAAGATTTTTTATTTATTCATTCAGCTTTTAAAAAAAAATGAATTTTCAAAAAGAACGAAAAGAATATCACAATGAATTTTGAGAAAATTCATTACAATATGTGATATTAATTAACGGCTATTAATAAGTATAAAATTTTCACTTTAAAACAATTCTGCTTCCAACGCCCTAAGAAAATAATGCGGAAAGCTGCTTAACAGACTCCTTTCTCTTAATTCACTCGTAGAAGGCGCCTGAGACGAGTTGAATATATGTCAACTCTATGCTGGCCAAATTTTCTCGCTGAAAAGGAATAGCATTTGCGTATATATATTATATATTTATATATTCATTGGAACAACACTTTAATTATATCTGCAACTTACGGCTATCGTGATCCGACCTATAAAGTCATATATGTGTTTACGAAGGGAATTGTGATAGCATTTCGAAACATAAACCGGTATGAGCCAAAATTGCAACCTTTCTCAAGCACATTTATAGAATGGATCTTTATATCGCTCGCCGCTACTCAAGAGACATACAAATGCTCCAGGGGGAAATTTCACAAGAGTCCCTGGACAAGCGATAATATTGTCGCAGTGAAAGTTACGAGAAGCTGCAATAGACATCAGATGCCGACAATAGCAACCAAAATTGGCCTTCAGATCAGCGTTAATGAGGCGAAACTTTGTTTCCCATTTACCAGATCGATAGTTCCTATAAATACATCACTGGTTTAAGATATGTAAATCGATCCATTCTCATACCTAATAGGCGAAAACCAGCAGCTGGAGGTATTTTTTTCGTCTGGCGAAGCCTCTTTGAATTCGGGGCGAAATTTTAAACTGAAATCTACATGCTCCAATAGGTATATTCCAATTATACGCTTGGAAAATGTAGCCAATGAGAACGGAAGATATGAAAAAGTTAACTATTACTGGCCATTCCTTCTAAAGTACATCCTAGAGCTCACCGAGCGGACAAACTGGATCTCATGGCCGCATCCACCCTTGCTCGGACAGCATCTGTATCGGCGATATTGCCAGGCCATATTATCCGTCATCCATCTTAGGAACTGAAGCACTTCGCTACTTCTCGTGATGGATGGCTTCAAGGATGAGAAGATCAACCAGAACTCAGGCAATTTTCTGAATTTAAAGGCAACCCAGCGATATATAAGCTAAAACGGTAAAATCAGTCGCTGCAATTACATTCAGCCATTTTATATGACCAGAAACGTCGCACTTTAAACACCACTGCAAGCAGGCAAATCAGCAATGATGGGGCAGCGGAAGCTGACGTTCTCAAATTATTATTGAGCTATTATATGCTTTTGAAATCTCGTAACGATTTCTATTTGAAATTTTCACTTGCTTTTTGGTAATATAGAGTTGTCGATTTTTTTCGCTATAATTATGGTTATGCAGACGTTACGGAAGGGGGTGGGGGGGGGGGGAGAGCATCATCTCTCTCCTTTTTCCTCAATATTCGGACCGTCCTCTTCTATCTAATTCGGGAGTTTTCTATTATCGTTGCCGCCCATTTAACCGAAAAGTACCGCAGCATTAATTGTTGGTTAGGGTTCATCGTTCTTAGTTTAGTGTAATTAGTCTTTATACTTCACAATATTTGTGAACTATAATTTTCCCATTTTTGGTAATTCCTATTTTGTTTTTCTAGAATTTTCTATTAATCTTAATTTCTTCAATCATTTAATATTAACGGTAGTATAATTATATATTTGACATTTTTTTATTTAAATATCATTTTCATAGTTTTCTTTTTTATAATAAATCGCTTTTTCAAAGTCTTAAAAAGTTCATAAATTCATAAATTTTATTTTTTCCACTTTTTGGGTTTTAAATATGAATTATGAATTATGAGAGTGAAATTTTTTAAATTTTTGTTTTAAAAAGTCATAAAGAATCTTCAAAAATATCCATTAGAATGCGTTTTGGCTGCGCAGCTAATCTTCGCAGCTAACTTTCTATCTGAGTTCCAAATATCCAATTTTTATCTTAATATCTTCAATTTCTTTTAATTTTATTCAAATTTAAAATTTGGAAATTGCGGCAAAATATTTTTTCATGTGTCATTTGTAAATAGAGAAGTATCCCATGTTATGTTATTGTTCATTGATAAAGTGTTTTCTTGATGTTACACGAGATGAGAATATTTCGAATATGGTTTTGCATGAAAAGCATGGCTTAAATGCGATTGTTTCTGATGCAGATCCAGATAGCAATGAATATAAATTGGGCTCGAAAAAAACAAGAAATCGTCGGTAATCTTTCATTAATTTTCAGTTATTAATCTTACAATATCAGTGTAACCTTTTTTAAAATTATTCATTTCCTCATTTGCTTTGTTTTATAATAACCTGTTATTAATTTTTCATTTTAGATTCGAAATAAGACCAGTTCTCGCTCATGATATAATGAATGAAGAAATACCGCTAACTGAATTTTTTGTCTTAAATGTCATCGAGAAAAAGAAACTTGGTGAAATTTTAAAATATTTGCCACAAATGCCAACTTGGGCGAATCATTTGAAGCGCATCAAATCTGGAAATGTTTTAATTCAACCATTATCATTTCCAATCGATGAAATTTTGCGACTTAAATTGATTAACGTATTCGGTGAAATTTTTACCTTCGAAAGAGTTCTTGTTCCTTCTAGGAAACCAATTACGAGGCAGCAGTTTACTTGGGCAAAACAAAGATGGCCTGTCGAATTCCATCCTAATAAAAATGTTGAAGCCATGCTTAATGGTACTTTCTTCGACAAGAAACAGCAAAAAGAGATTATCAACTTTTTTCTGGAAGCAGAGAAGGTTTTTTCTTGGTTTTTTTATTTTTTATTTGATAGTTTTTATAATTACTATTTTTCCTTTAACATAGTTCTTCTGGTTCTTTTATATTTTTATGTTGCACTAAAAATTTGAATTCAACAATTGATGAATGCTTCAGGTTGGTAATGGTGGTCCAGGTTGTTTAATGGTCGATCTTGAAGGAAAAGTGGTCGCTAAAAGCGGGGTGCAGTCAGATATTCTTGATCATGCAGTAATGTCTTCTATATCTAAACTTTGTGAAATTAATCGAATAAAAGAAGGTAAATCTTTCTTATAACCTTTGCATATGACATTGATTGCAGTTATCATTTAAAATATTATGCTTTCAGGTAATACTTTGCAATATCTTGGTACTGGATTTGATGTCTATTTGACAGAGGAGCCTTGCTCGATGTGTGCTATGGCACTGGTTCACTTTCGAGTTAGTCGAGTATTCTTTTGTCGGCGAATTCCAAAAGGTGCCTTAGAATCGTCGTGGAGAATACAAGAGGAAAAGCGAATAAATCATCATTATCAAGTTTTCAGAATCGATGAAGTTTTATAATATGAAATTTTAGTACTTGTGTCATTCTTGATGAAATATTAAAAATATAATTGAAGACTTTACAGATTTATTATTTTTTGTATCGATTATAAAATTTCATTTTCTGGTTTTTTCCTTTTTGTCATCCGTATATAAATGTAAAATTTATTTCCTTTTACTTCAATTTCCTTATTGCTTTTATCACTTTTTTCTTTATTTATTTATTTATCTTATTGGATACTTTCTTTATTAATACATAATTAAAGGATAAAAATTCCTTGCAATTTTTACAGGTTTTATCTGTTTTTTACCTGTTGAAAATGCCTTTTGCCATCGGAGAAACTTTTTCAATGGTAAGTGTTGATGAAAATTCACTATCAATAACTGATGTGCCATCAAATAGAATTTTTCATGGCGTAATGTCGTTAATGGTGCATTTGAACTTCAAAAATCGTCTGGTTGCAGTCGCTGCAAATAAGCACCCAGCAGTTGTAGCTGCCTTGTTCAGGTATTCATCTTTTGTTTTGTTGTGGAAAATTACCGTATCGTAGTTTTTTTTAGGTTGTCTTATGTAATTTGTTGATTTCATATATATATTTATTTGATGCTTCTACTGAAAATAAGAAGTGTGGTAGCCCATTTCGATATGGCACTCTTCTAGAAGTAAAATATGCAATTTTTTTAAAAATGCTTTGAGCAGAAGACTCCAGATAAAGGATTAGGGACTCGATCTTATGATATAGTTAAATTTTTTTTGCTGGACTATAATGCTTTATTATTAATTTTTTTGATTATTATTTTTACCATTTTCTATTTTTGCTATCAGTACTATATTTAATTATTTATACTGCCACTATTATCTTTCTTGTTAGACGTTTTATTGCATAGTTCATATGAATCTATATATTTCTTAAAGTTTGCAGATTTGCAAACGAAAAGATTAAAAAAAGAAAGAAAAATTTTGGTTAAAGAATATTTGTGGCTTTCTGGAGTAAAATAGAGGTTTGGTCCAAGTTGACCCTCCAAGTTTGGCTGATATCGATTCATAAGTATCGACATAGCTGTAGTAGATTGCTGATTGAAACAGAGCACAATAAATAGTTTTTCAATGCCTTTCAGGACACAATGTCTATGCTTTATTTTATCATTGTTTTATCTCTAATAATTTGTTTCAATATGCTATTCATTTCTCATTTTTTTTCTTTCTTTTCACCAATAACTACTCAACATTTATTCCAGCATTTCAAGCTCAGAAAATGCTTTTGTTTACATACAACCAATATCATTGTCATATATTACGCGTGAATGCCACAATCTTGGAGTTTATTGTCTAATTTCATCAATGGCGATTTGTTCTTTAAGAAGTTTGTTGAAAAAATCTTTTTTTTTTCTTTTTCTTTTATATCTTTAAATCTATTTCTTTTTTTACCATATAAAAAAAGAAAATATGGGAAAAAATCATTTGTGAAAATCATTCATGCTTTTTATTTATTGTTTATTATTATTTATTATTATTGTTTATTATTTATTATTTATTTATTTATCTCTTTTTTATTTTATTGGTTAACATCTTTTTATGTATTATGTATTATTTATTCAATATATCAGTAAATTATCCCAGAAAATTATTTATTTAGCTGAAGTTATGGATATTTAGATGATTTTGTCGATGTACTTGGCTTGAGATTGTATTTCACTTATTTCTCAGAGGCATATTTGCAACTGTCGGAGAAGTATCATATATCTTATATAATGCAGACTTCGGGTACAACTGGAAAACCAAAGGAAGTTCAAGTTCCTGAATTGGCTATAAGGTCAAACATAGAAGACTTCTAGTCAGTTTTTTTTCTTAATTTTATCACGCTTTGAAAAGAAAAAGTTATAAGAAATTAGAAAATTTTTTTTAATATTTTCATATTTTGCTCTTATCAGAAGACTTCTCTCTTTTCTTTCCCAGATTTGTATTTAATATTAATAATATTATATTTATTTGTATTTGTATTTTATTTTGTAATTTCAGTGAGCGATTTAGTGTTACTAAAGACGATATCATTTTGTTCTCAACAGCGTTAAGTTTTGATCCATCTGTCGTTGAGATGTGTTTGGCAGCTACAGCTGGTGCCAAACTTGTTGTAATACCGGACTCTGTTCGAAATCGTCCTTCCATCTTAGCTGAGATTATGTTCAATACTCATGTGACCATTGTTCAGGTTTGTTTATGAATTAATTTTGAAGTTATTTTTTGAGAATATAGTTAAAGATTTGTTGAATCCAGCGTATATTTAAGATTTTTTCTATCTTCCTTTTTATTCTATAGATAAAATTTCTTCAAATTATTGAAAGTTATGGCTTTTAGTTCTAAAAAGTTAGGCTAAATAGACTTTAAACATGAATAGAAATGATTTAAGTAAATTTAATTTAATTTAATTTTAGTTCACACCTTCAATTCTGAAGATTTTACCAGAATATGCAATCCAAAAAATATTTATGCCTAATTCACATATTCGAATATTAATTGTTGGTGGAGAATCCTTTCCATTAACTTTTTTACGGAAATATTATTGCAGCGACAGTACTGTTAAAGTTTACAATGTTTATGGAGTTACTGAAGTTTCTTGTTGGGCATCATGCAGACTTGTTGATTTTAAGTTCGCTGTTGCAATGCAGTTTTTTTCGCGATGATTTTTCATTTATATTGAAATTTATATTATGAAAAAGAGAAATTAAAAGTAAAAACCATATAAATCAAAGAAAACAAAATATTTTATAATGCTTCATTTCATTTTTTAGATTACTGAGGATTGATATTGGCGAGCCTATAAAAAATACCGAATTTATTATTGATGATTCAAATGTTTTATTAATCGGTGGATCGAGAATGTGTGTAGTAAATGGCAAACGTACCAATAATTTCTTTAAAACTTTTGACATTGTGGAACGCGACAATGATGGTAAAATTTACTGGATAGGCAGAGCGGATGATCAGGTAAAATAATTAGACGATCTTAATCCTTTAGCATTAGATAGAAAATCGATGATTCTAAGATGTCAAATATTCGGCCCAACTTGAAGAAAAATTACTGTTTTATGGTAAAATTGTCAATAATTTTTGATAACATTCAAGATTAAAATAAATGGCGTACGTGTTAATCTAATGGAGGTAGTTATGGCAGTGGAAAAAATTGAAAATATTGGTTCATTAGTTGTGGCCGTGCGAGATAATATTATTACTTTATTTGTCAAAAATCCACTGCCCAATATAAAAGAGCTGATTGAACGGCATGTGCCATCTAAACTTCATCCTCATGTTATTGTCGAAATCCATGAATGGCCAGTTACATCTCATGGTATTCGTCACAAATTTTTTTTGTTTTTTATCTTAAACATGAAACTCTAATCAATTAATGTCCTTTCTACTTTTTTTTTGCATTTTTTTACGTTATTCAGTGTTTAAATTTTGAAATACGGTTTAATATTACTTCCGGAACATAGTATGAACGTAACATAGGTTTGTGAGTTCAAAAATTTATTTGTATTCTATTTCAATAAATAATAAAAATTGTTGTTTAGGTCAAATTTAGCTTCTCATTTTTCATAACAGATTTATTTTTTGAAGAAAAGTATTCAGGTAAAATTGATATCGATAAGCTTTACTCCAATTTTAAAGCTCAGAATTTATGTCTGAAGAAAAAAGATGTAGGAACGGTGCTTGCTAAATGCGGTAATCAGTTTTGCTATTTATTTTTATTCCCTATTTTCATAAATATTTTTCAAGTTGATTAAATTGAATTATATCAGTTACTGTTATTCGTGTTTTCGTAAGATTTTGATATATTTTATTTTCATTGCAGATATTCGTTTCAGGTATCGATATCGTGAAAGACAAACATAAAACATTCAAATCATTAGGAATGAATTCATTCCTTGCTACTGAAATTATGTTAAAAATTGAGCATCTTTTGGTTGACAGAAGTTTTCCTATTGTGAATTTCCTTCTGTCTGACTCTTTTACCGTTAATGAATTGCTTGAACATCTTGGGATGAATGTTTGTTCGGTTTCTTTTCTCAATGAAATATTAGAAAGTGAAATAAAAGCAGAAAACACCTTAGTGGTCACACATTTGGATTCATCATCGCTAAAATGGTCGAAAGATTTGGTTCAATGTATTGATTCTACTCCAGTAGTAAGCCGTGGGTAGATATTTCGCAAATGTCAAATATTTTGCTTCTATTTCTTTTTTCGCAATAGTTTGCAATAATTAAATTCAAAAAGAAAAAAAATTAGGTTTTGAAAGAAATTCTTTTTTCTAAGGTTAATCTTTTTTTCTTACTAGAGTAGTATTTATTGGTTCGCATGCTGGTCATTTAGCTGCATTATCGATTGAAAATGGAAATATCAAGTGGTTAATTAAACTTGAAGGGCGAATAGAATCAACTGTGGCAGTTGAATATGGTACCGTTGTCGTAGGTATTCTATATTTTATCATTTCACCTTTTATAACTAATTAACATTGATAAAAGTATGTTAAGTACCAACTTCTTTCTTCAAATTCTTCAAATTTAGAAATTTTCCATCAGATTCTTTTTAGTTTTTTTTTCATCCAGATGATGAAGTGTAATATTCAGGTACTTACGATTATAATATTTATTTTCTGGCTGAAGATTCCGGTTCAGTGCTTTGGTCGTATAAGACTAATGATATAGTGAAATGTAGACCACTTTTTATTACCGATGGAAAATGCCTTGTTGGATCTCATGATCATTTTGTCTATCTCCTTGATTATAAAGTATTTTTTTTAAAATTGCATACGATTAGATAAGTTTTTTGACGTAAGTAAAATATGCTGTATTTTGCAAACGAGCAAAATCATTTCATTTATATGACTTTATGCTCCTCAAAATTCGAGTTATAAAAATTTCGAATTCTTCATCATCTTTTTTTTCTATCCTGAAATCCTCATTATTTTCATCGAAGAGTTCATATTTTCGTTATTCATTATATTGCCTCAATATTAAATTCATGGCATAGACCCTTGATCCATCATTTTACCTATCATAGTTTAATTTAACTGCAGCCATAGCGAAAATGCGTTAAGAGATTTACCACAGGACTGTTTAATTTGCAGAGATGTTGAAATGGGAAAGAGGAGCTTAAAAGGACGTAGATTTTCTAGTTGCTATATCGTAATCATGGAATGCTAAAGAAAAACGACGAATTTTCTGAAATATTAATGGGATATTTAACTAAAATTTAATAGTTTTGAGGGCAAAAACTTATAACGGCGAGTTAAATTTGATTTCGTTTTCTTCCATATTTATGCAATGGTAGCATTTTATCTTGGGCATAGAGTTGATAAAATTGTTATGTTTATTTGAAACTAGTAGTTGTCAGCAAAAAATTGTCTTGGAAGATGATTCTTATTTTGTAATACATATTTCTTCAGTTTATAATGATTCATTATAGGCTATCCCTATCCCTACCTAAATTTTTATAATTTTAATCTTACCGTGGAGCTGGAATGTCGATTGGTACATTATTTGCACTGAAGTCAAGCATTATGGCTTCGATTCTTTTCCTTTCGTGAAATCTAAGATTAAAATTGAAGCTGGAGATAGAATCATCTATATTTCTATATCTTTCGCGTGGCGAAAAATTTTTACTTTAGGAAAGCCAACCAAACCAGCTGTTAAAAGAAGAAAAGCTTTGATCTTGGCGATTAGAGATTGCGAAAGAGATCATTGCTTAGATTTTGAGCAATTATTAAGCTATTGCCTACATTTATCATTTCTATTTTTTTAGACTCAAAGAGAAATTTTGCGCATTAATTGTGGTGGTGCTGTGTTTGCTTCTCCTATAGTGGTGGAAGGAATTGCATTTCCCGTTTCTCTTGCAGGAAAAGCTATCGGTTTTTCTTTGGCAAGCAATTTCATTTCTTTTTCTTTGCTTTTCATCCCAGCTTTTTAATATATTTAATATACTGGAATTATTGAATTGTTGACCACTGATTTGTTATCGGAAGTAAAATCGGAAGTAATTATTCTTCCATAAGAGAAAAATGGGAAATTCGACAGGAAGTGCCTCAAAGATGGGAATTTGGGAATAAGTTTCATTTTTACGCATAAAATCATCTAGTTCCATTGAAAATTTAAAATGCTTTAAAAATTAATGAAAATTAATCAAAATTGTTTCTTCATTGAATCTCCGTAGTTGAGTTTCATTATTTATTCGTTATTCGTTATTTATAATTTTTTCAATATAATATGCACGATTTTTTATTCTGTTTATATTTCGTGATATTTATATAAAGGAATTAAGTAAATAGATCTGTATAATTATTTATTACCGGTTTAATATTGCTCTTTAATGTTTTTCTCTATTTCTTGAAATTTTTTCAGGAAAGAAGTTAGTTAACGGATGGATAATTATGAAAACATATAAGTCTTGCTTTATGGAGCTTATGCTCAAAAATTCGATCTATAGTGTCTTAAAGAAACTGTAGATTTTCCATAAAATATTTAGAAAGTGGGATAGGGGAATAGTTTTAGAAATATCTAAAAAAACGACTATTAACTTAATGTTTTTAAATAAAATGATAAAATGTAAATAAAAATAAAGTGTTGAGATGAAAGGTGTTTAGCAAGAATATAAACTGAAGAATTTCTACGAATCAGAAGCAAATGAATAAGCTTTTTTACGATAGTAAATTCTTTAATATTTCCCAAATCATTTGTGGGACGTTAACCGAGAGAAGTAATAAAATTAAATTTTATTTCTTGCTTCTCTTTTATAAAATAATAAATTTTATTTTTATTATCGAAAAAATCGAGATAATTTGTTATTATGCGATTCGGCGATTTTCAATTATAAATGCCGTCAATTTTTTATGCACAATTATTTATTACATTCATCAGCTATTAGCTAACCAAGCAATGAACGAAGAAAAAACTGTGAAAAGCTTTTTTTTTTCAATCTGACCACAATTATTGTCCATAATCTTGAATTCATATCATTTTTATTTGAGGATTTCTTAAATATGATTTTTTCATTTAAATTTTAAAAACCGTTCTTCGTTTTGTCATTATTTTTAAATATTTAATTTTTTGAAAAATCATACTTTTCTTGTTCTATGAAGATTTTTTTCTATTATTTTGTTAGTATAATAGTTTTGTTTTTAAGAAAGTAGTTGGTAAAAATTTCATCATGGACCAATATTTTATCAGAGATCTGATGGTATTAATCGATTTACTAAATTTTATTGTTAAATAGCCATTTATTTGTCTTAGTTTCAAGAAAATAGATAACATTTTCGGTAATCATTAATTTTCAGAACGATGGTTCCATTCTGTGGAATTACCAGAGTGCGCCGTTTTTTGCTAGTGCATTGCAAATTAGTTCTAAGGTTATTATATTGGCTGATGTCCGTGGTAAATTATCGCTACACGATACGAAAACTGGACTCGTTGTTAGTGTTTTTGATTGCTTCCAAAAATTTTTATTCAAAGCTTGTGTCATAAATCATAATAATCGTTAATTTCTTTTTTTTGCAGCAATTTCTAATTTACATCAAAGCTTCGAAAAAATATTTAAATAATTTGTATTTGGTTGTTTCTTTTTCGATTAAAGAATTTAATTTCTTGACTTTATGGGATTTGATAGAATGAACTGGTTTTTTAAAGGTATTTTTGAAATGTGATGATTGTTAGTATATTAAAGTATAGTATATTAAAGGTGGAGGTTTTTGATACATCATTTTCTCTGTTGATTAATCGTCATAAGCAAAGGTAATCGATGAGCTGAATTTATGGACGATCATTTATTTTCTTTCTATTCTGCTTTTCACCTTAGTGATTTAGTAATTTCTTATACTTAGCAAAAGAAAAGGCATTAGATATATTTATATTATATTAGTATATTTTTATGTGTTCCATTTTTATATTTTGTCTTCATGTGCAATAAAATAATGTAAATTCATTCAAAGTATTCAGTCATATTGTATTCATTTTGATTATTGTAGTGAATCATTAATAATGAATTAATGAATTCCAGAAATTCTTATTTCTCATTTATTTTCATATAAATTTATGAAAACGGAGAAAGTTTTTCATCAATTCTAACTATATTTTTGGTGAATTGAAAAAATAGACGTCTAATAACAAATTAATAAAAAGTGAAGTAAATAACTATGAGTAAAAGTAAATAAGTAAATAAATAAAAAGTAAATTATATAAATGATTGTCTTTTTTTTCGTTATTTTATTTTATTGACTTTTCAAGTTAAATTTGTCGTTTTTATTTGTTTGAAAATTGGTAATTTGGTCAACTATTTGGGTTTAAAAAAGTATTTTCGAATATTTTTCACATTGCTTTATCCATTATTCCGTTTTCCTCGATGTTTTTTGTTGAATTTCACCGATCAAATTGCATTATTACAATATTTGAGTCATTTGCTAAATACCATCTAGTTTTGATGTTTGCTTATTTTTTATCGACCAATTAAGCGACATTCCTTGTTGCGTAATATATAACTAAGTAAATATGTGACAATCACGACTTTTCATTAATAATCGTATTAATCGTATTTTTGCGGCGATGTATATTATCGCTGAAACTTGAATGTCTTCTTGCCTTATTGAAATATGGCTATTAAAAAAAGAAAAATGAAATATTTTTTGTGGTTGAACTTGGAACGGGAAGCAGCAAGGAAAAATTACATTAGAAAGATACGAATAGTCCAATTTTTGATTTGAATTTTACGCCTTCATTTACGCTTATAAGTGCATTATATCATTACAAGAGATTTTTATATCAGGAGAAAAGCAATGAAAAGATTTCCTTTCACATTCTATTATAATTTTTTGCTTCTGTTTTGGACTTTTATTCTAAGTTTTATTTTCACTGCTGATTGAATACTTTTTCTTTCCACTTGGAGATCATTTGCTTGTCTTAGTTTTATGAGGATTTTAGGTGCATCTTGGTGTCCTTTTGTTGTCTTTTTATTTTTTTCTTTATCTCTCGAAAGGTCATCGAATTCGTAATTGATATTTTATTTTTGTGGTTGGCACCTTAGGCTGAATGAGGCAAAAATCATTTTTTGCTTTATGTTTCATTTTCATCATTCTATTTGCAATTTGATTGCAATTTTTGAAATTGAATAAAAGTTGGTTAAAATAATTGTTTTTTTCAGGCAGATCGAGCCGATGTTAAAGAATCCATTTTTGCAACCCCAGTTTTGTTATCGTCAGAAATTGGTGTTATCGTTACTCAGTTATCATCAGTTTTCATTTACGGTGTTCAACCGTTAAGAATTTTGAAACATATGAAAATTGGTACTTCATCAGTTATTCGTCCACCAACAGTTATAGATGAATTTATGTTTTTGCTGAATACCACTGGTGAACTTTTTGCCATTGATATAAATGATTTATTGAAGTTTGCAACAATAGCGTCATCGGATAAGAATGGAACATTAGTAGTGAATCTGATGGTGTCGGCCGGATCGGAAACTTTTGGCGGTGCAACAGTGATTCCGGTAGCTGATGACGAAATCGGATTGGATATGAATCAAAAGGAGGAGGATGAATTTCTGGGTAATTTAAATATGGCATCATCATCTCATACCGCATTGTCTTCGTTTTCCCGTTTGTGTGCCTCCTCATCATTATATCATGTTTTACTTGGAAATCGTGACAATTGTATACAGTGCTATTGTCTTTCATTTGATAAGAAGAAGGGCAACCAATGCAAAAGAGTCAACAAATAAATGAGAAATAAAAATTTTCAAGTGAAGAGAATTCTTATTTCGTTTTTTTAGTAAGTTTTC